TGGAAAATTATATACACTATAATCACAATTCTACAAAACAAACATGCCTCTAATATGTTGTGTGCTGTCCAGCCGATTTTGACTCATAGCAACCCCATGTGACAGAGTAGAACTTCCCTATAGAGTTTTTTTGGTTGCAATCTTTATGGAAGCAGATCACCAGGTGTTTCTCCCACAGAGCTGCTGGATGAGTTAGAATTACCAACCTTTTGGTTAGCAGCTGAGTGCTTTACCATTGCACAACCAGGGCTCCTTGCCACTAATGTAGAGACAAGCATATACACCTGTGTAACTAGTACTAAAATCAAGATATAGTACATTTCCATCATTCCAAAAGATACCCCCAGCCTCAGGTAACCACTAATTTGCTTTCTGTCACTATAGATTAGATTTGCCTTTTCTAGAGTCCAGAGAATGAAATCATACAGTATGTACTTTTTTGTATCTAGTTACTTTTGAGATATATGTTTTTGCATATATCACTAGTTCATTCTTTTTAATTGGTGAATAGTATCCATTCAGGAGCCCTGGTGGTGCAGTGCTTAAGCACTTGGCTGCTAACTGGAAGGTCGGCAATTCGAACTCACCAGCCACTCCACGGGAGAAATATGTGGCAGTCTGCTCCCTGTAAAGATAACAACCTTGGAAACCTACAGGGCAGTTCAACTTTGACCTACAGGGTCGCTATGAGTCAGAATCGTCTCAGTAGCAAAGCGGAGTATCCATTTACCAGTTGATGGCCGCCATTCAAGTTATTTCCCATTTTTAAAGTAAGTTGCTATAAATATTTATTTGTATATGAGTCTTTGTATGTTAGTAGTTATTTTTCCCTACCCTGTGATAATTCATCTACCAAGAGGCATGCAGTTCTCTCCAGATGAAAAGAGACAGTCTATTTATAATAGGGCCTTGAGTAACCACCACATAACACCTTCCCTGCCTAAGACACATCTACAATTTAGTGATGGACCAGGGCTTCCTGGGATATTGTATTGAATGTGGTTAATGGTTTACCTAGCACTGGTTGCCCCTTTCCTAAGATTATCTAGTTTAATTTGGGTATCCACTCCTTTCTCATATAGCCCACATAATTCAGAGGAAGCTAATCCTACTTCTGGCCCCAGAGGTAGACCCAGTTAGTTTAATCCAATCAGCTTATTCCATTCCTTTGGCCATCAGACTTTGTCTGGGGGTGAGGGTTGGGGGCACGAAGGGGTTCATGTGACCTAAGCAGTCTGTCATGTTGAATTCTGGAAATTCTTAGACAGAATTTTCTCTCCCTCTGCACTTCGATAGCCAGTTTGCCACCTTGTGGGAAGTCAACATTCAAGGTGCAGCTGACAGCACTGTGGCAAAGTGAAGATACAGAAAGAAGCCCCAGACCTTGGTGACATTGTTGAGCTGCTTTTCAAACCAACCCTGAAAATGTCATTATCACTGATCGTCAGTTACCTGAGTCAATGAATTCCTTTTATTGTTCAAGATTGACTTGCAACTAAACACATCCTAACTTTACAGGTGCATAGCATGCGGATAGAATTGTACTGTAATATTCCAGTTCACTATTCATTACCTTCTCTCATAGGTAGAGAATGCAAGAATGTTAAGTCACAACACAACTTGATAGATCTGTTATACTACTCTACTCGTCTAATCAAAATACTATCGTACTTAGATACAAAAAGCATTAGAGATATAGGGTATACTTTGAAATCAAATTAATACAAAGTGTGGTATCGTCTCTACGTAAGTGTTTGGAGAATGTGGAGGACAGGAGTAACTGGAGTTAGATGGGTGTGTGGTGATAAGAATTTTCCTTTTCATCTAATGCTTTAGTTCTTGTTCTAAAGCCCAAGAATAGAGGAGCCCAGAATATGGTGCCCATGCACTGGTTCTGGACTGAATGGATCCCCTTTCTAAGGATAGCTCCTTCTTAGTACAGAAGTTCATGGGATTAAATGTTATGATAAAATTAAGGTCAGGAGAGAAGTTCTTTATTCTTGGAACCCTGGTTTTATTATAGTAACATTTTACTAATTCATAACAATGGGGAAAGAAGGCGGTTATAATGACAGAAAGAGCTCCTGTCTGGAATGCAGGGGGGCAATCTTTAGAATTTTTTTCAAGGAATGCAATTTTACTACTTTCAGTATTCCACATGGGCCCTATAAAATAAGATACAGATGTGTATACAGCAAAGAGTATCATTTAAGAGAGATCAAAGAGAAAATATCTCCAAAAACAAAAACATAAAATAAACCTTACATGAAATAACTCATAAAAAATAAGTGTGGGGTATGATAGACCCAGGAGTTCCTGAGTGGTACAAATGGTTAACATACTCAGCTGCTAACTGAAAGGCTGGAGTTTTTTGTCTACCCAAAGGTGCCTTCAAAAAAAGGCCTGGCAACCTACTTCCAAAAACTCAGTCACTGAAAACTCTATGGAGCATAGTTCTACTCTGACACACATGGAGTCACAATGAGTCAGAGCTGACTCAACGGTAGCTAACAACAACATGATAGGCCCAGGACACTTGTAAACCAATGGCTAATTCTTTCACACCTACCATCCTAATAACATTCAAATTGGTGACCCAGAGAGATCACTATTTATAATCATCTCGAAAAGATTCAAGTATGTTTTCTATGTGTACTAATGCAAGAAAGGTTAATTTCAACATTAAGTGTCAAATCTGGAAGATTATTTTTTCTTCTTGCAATTTTCAATAAAGCATTTTTTTCTAAATTTTATTTTATTTTTTTGTTGTTGAGAATATACACAGGAAAACATAAACCAATTCAAGAGTTTCTACATGTGCAATTTAGTGACATTGATGATATTCTTTGAGTTGTGCAACCTTTCTTAGTCTCCTTTTCTGAGTTGTTCCTCCCTCATTGACATAAACTAACTGCCCCCTAAGGTTCCTATCTGATCTTTTGAATTGCTGTTGTCAATTTGATCTCATATAGATGGTTCTTAAAAGAGGATAATGATCAAGGCAAACCTTTTTGATGAGTTAAGCTAAACTATTGTTCAGTTTTAAGATGACTTTAGGGGATATTTTTGGTTTAAGGTTTAAAGATTATCTCAGAACAATAGTTTCAGGGGTTTATCCACCCTCCATGGCTCCAGAAATTCTAGATTTCAAGAGAATTTGAAATTCTGTTCTGCATTTTCCCTCTTTTGATCAGGATTTTTCTATGGAATCTTTGATCAAAATGTTCTGTAATGATAGCCAGGCTCCATCCAGTTCTTCTAGTCTCATGGCAAAGGAGGCAGTTGTTCAATGGAGGCAATTAGCCACACATTCCATATCCTTCTCCTATTCCTAACTCTCCTTCCCTCTCTGTTGCTCTAAGTGTATAGAAACCAATAGTTGTGCTTTGAATGACCACTTATGAGCTTTTAAGACCACAGGCACTACACAACAAACTAGGAAGTAGAACAGAAGCACTAAATGTATTATTAGGCCAATGAACTGGGTTGTCCCATGAAACCATGACCCTAAACTTCCAAACCTAGGAACAAATCCCATGAGTTATTTGGTTGTACATAAGCAGCCTCAGCAGCTACTCT